GAGGCCAGATTGATCTACACAGTGAGTTCCAGGCCAGCTAGGGCTACAGGGAAACCCTGTCTTAAAAAAGACAATAAAAATAATAATAGATCTTAAAAATAAATGTAAAAATGGGACTGAAGAAATGATTCAGCAGTTAAAAGCTGAACTTAACCTGGGAACCTGGGTTCAATTTCCAGCACCTACATGACAGCTAACAACTGCCCATAACTTTAGTTCCAGGGGAATCTGATGCCCTCTTCTGGCCTCTGCAGCATTGCATGGATGTGGTGCACTTAACATACACGGCAGGCAAAACACTCATATACATAAAAGAAAAATAAACAAAATATTTTTAATGCAAAAGAGAATTAACTTGGGACCTTACAAAAACACAAGATTCTTTGACTACACTCCATTAGTCTCCGAACCTTCTCTTAGACCTTTCTCTGTACTTCTTGCAAAATCCAGTTTCAGCCAAAGAGCCCTGCAAAATTAGTTCATCTGAAAGTTCCCACAATGTATACCTCATTACCCTGTATTTTGATCAGGTTCCTCAACCTCCACTATCCCCCATGTGATGTCTGGAATCCTGTTAGGTTGGTTTGACAGAACTTCCCCCACCCCTGGCGCGTCCTTTCAGTAATTTTCCATGCTCTGGCCCTAACCCAGCTGCTTAACTATAAAATCTCAAAAGATGAGGTCAGCTTTTCTCTCCCACTATATGATCCAGGTGCTATGTCCCAAAACCTATAGCAATAGTCCAGTTAAAGTGTTCTTTATGGTGTTGAATATCAGAGATTTTTCTTTAATTGTGCCAGGGCCCAGGCCTGGAGAATCTGTTTCCACGGGTGGAAAAGTGTTTTGAATATATGTTCAAAGTGATCCTTGTATTGCCAGTGGGGTCTGTGAGAACAGCTTGTTCTAATGCCTGGGCCACTAGAATCACTTTTTAAAAAAATTTTTTTATTTATTTATTATTTTTATTTTATATGTATTAGTGTATTGCCTGCATGTAGGTAAGTGCACCTGTGTCATGCAGTGCCCACGGAGGACAGAAGAGGCTGTTGGATCCCCTGGAACTGGAGTTACTGACAGTTGTTAGCTGCCATGTGGGTGCTGGGATTCAAACCAGGGTCTTCTGCAAGAATAACCAGTGTTCTTAGTCGCTGAGCCATCTCTCCAGCCCCTTGAATCACTTTTAAAACACCCAATTGGCCAGGCGTGGTGGCGCACACCTTTAATCCCAGCACTCGGGAGGCAGAGTGGTAGAGCTTAGCCTATGTAAGGTCCTAGGCTGTCTCAAAAAGATCAAAATGAATGAATGAATGAATGAATGAATGAATAAATAAATAAATAAATAAATAAATAAATAAATAAATAAATAAAAAATAAAATACCCGATGAAGCTAGGCAGGCTGACTCAAACCTGTAATCCCAGACAGTTGGAAGGCTGGGGCAGAAGGATTGCAAGTTCAAGGCAAACCTGGGCTATAGAGTATATGCAAGGCTTGCCTGTGCAACGTAGACAAAGTGTCAAAACAAAAAGGAAGAAGGCTGGGGATACAGCTTAAAGGTACAGTGCCTAGCTAGCATTCATGAGGCTCTGGGTTCAAGTTCTACAACAAGGGGTAGGGAAGAGGGGTGGGCCAAATACAGGACCAGCTAAAACCTGCCTGCACAGGTGGAGGCTGGGTAGCAGTGTGTGAGAAGCTCCAGGTCCTGACTGAGGCTCATGCTGCCCCATCAGCTTCCTGTTCCTCTGCCTGTGTTCCAGGCTCCCCTGGGAAAAGGGTCCTCCCTGGTATCCACACCTCCTCAAACTTCGTTATTGTGCATGCCTAGCCTCACATCCGCCTAAACCCCTCCATCCCTCAACCCCAGCCATCTGAAGAATAGTCCAGGCCACTTGGTGGCCTCAGCTCCTATGGGAATTCTCCTGGCTCTCTCAGCTGGGGACACATGCATCAGTTTCCATTTGCAGGCTACTTTTCAGAATGTCCTGTCTGCTTCATGTGTCAACCACAGCAGGGGCACAGCTGATACCTCTGTTCCCCAAGCAACCTGTGACCTGAGTCTATTCACTTCCATTCAAGGTCTGTGCTAGTGGCTCAGCACTGAGCAGGCTTGGGGAGGTGGGGAGTAGAGGGGAGGAGGGTGTTGAAGGACAGAGATGAAGAACAGTCAGTGTCTCATGGTCTGGCTAGAGGGCTCAGGGAAGTGGGAACCATCACACCCAATGAAACCATATGCCAACTTCTTCCAGGCCAGACTGTTACAAATCACAGATGTCAGCATTAGAAGGAGCCTTAGTGCCTACACTGTCCTGCTCTGTGTCTGCCTCCCAACACACTCAAAACACACAGTACAGAAATCTCTTCTGTAGTGTCCCTCATCAGCCTCTTTTTGGAGGCTTCGGGTGATGGGGACACAGGCAGTGTCTTTTATATGTTTCTTTGGGGGTGGAAGATGTGCTGGGGATCAAACTCAAGGCCTTGGAGCACAGCTGGAAAACTATGCTGAGTGCCATCATTCTCTTTTCCACTCTGCATAGTGTGATGAGTTACAGGCCAGCTGTTTCCCTGAGACCATAAAGCACTTTTGGACCTGGAAACTGGAGTTTGATTCTAGATTTGGCGGAAATGAACCTCTCACTGCCTGATACCCTGAGGGTGCTCAAAGAATGTGTGTGATTTTTCTGTACTTGCTGGGCTCCAGTCATTGGACCAGATAAAACCTGAGGGCTAGCCTAGGATTTCAATATGAGAGTTCAGTGTGGAGCAGCCTTGGGTCAGAAAGCCTCAGGCAAAAGAGTCCATTGGGCTGTCCAGATGGGTGGGGGAAAAAGTATGCTTCGCTAGCCCTGGCCCTTTGGCTAACTATCTTTGAGGATATACTGGGGGCCTAGAAATGGGGGTCACTGTTACTTATGCCCTTAACAAAATTCTTGATCCTGTCAATGGCCTAATCTGTACAATGACATAGGTCACTGTACTAGTCATCTAGAACTGAGGAGCACCAGGAACTATCTTTTCCCTCCTGGGATCCTGATTCCATATATCCCCAACAGGCTCCTTCCCCTCACCGTGTGCATCTGTGCCCTTGGTGTGAACGGAAATGGCATCAGCAGTCTTTTTTCGAAGGAATGAGTGGAGATGTAGGTAATCACACAAGAAAGCAGTGGATCCCCCTGGCCTGTGACCCATGTTCCTCAGAAGTGGAGACAGTGGTGACTCTTCACCCTTAACACCAAAGCATGTTCCATTCAGCACCCACCTTCATATTCTTCCCCACCCTGCCCCAGGTGACCCTCTGCTGAGGGCTGCCTGAATGTCTCTCAGGTGACTAGGGCTGCCTCGCCCCTTCAGTAACCCCTCCAGTCCAGTTGTCTAAAACCATCACAATGCTTTTCAGACAGGCACCACCAAATCTGAATTGGCCTCCAGGCAGGCTGACGGCCTTTGGGGATGTCTGTCGGGAGGTTGGTCACCAGCTCTCTCAGGCCAGGATGAACCCAGACACTCTAGCTCCTCCTCTGCAGTTCAGACACAACCCACTCAGGCCCACCCAGCTTCCGCAGCTACAGACCTGCTGTCAGATAATGACCAGAACTTGACTTAAGCCTGGGGGTGCTGTTCCTAACTGTTCCCAGACCCCTGTGACCAGCCCTCATCTGTCCACCCAAGAGGGTCCCAGGCAGTCCCTCTTCAGGGGCCACCTCCCACTTTCACCTCTCCAGGCTTCCAGCCCTTCTGCTCTTCTCTAACCTGCCCCACCCAGCGACTCATTTTCCTTCCTTCACTGGGCTGTCCCACCCACCCGCCCCACTCCCGGGGAGGCTCTGTGCTCCGAGGTCCGAAGACTCAAGGGAGCAAGCTTGGAGACAAAATGCTGCTGTGAGACCAGCTTCTCAGAGTTGCCCACGGGGAGATCAGAGCCCACCCTAGCCTCACACAGCAGCTTCAGGCAAGGCAGACCCTGGACTGCCTCAAGCTGAGCCAGCAAGGAATTTCCCAGTTCTACTCACCAGCCCCAGCAGGCGTCCTCTGCAGAGTCTGCAACAGCCCCTGGTTAGCAGTTACTTAGTCTCATTTCCTGGGTGGGGTCACTGGTTCTGCATTACTTTTTTTCCCCTCCTCCTTCTGCGTAATCTGTCTCCTTGCCCTGAGTGCATGTGAATTTTTTTTTTTTCCTGAAGCCCGGTTCTGAGGGAGTGTCTAAGACTCTGACACATCCTGATTTGGTTTTTGGTTTGTATGTGTTCTTAACAGGAGCCTCACTAGTAGAGCAGGCTGGCCTCAAACTCACAGAGATCCACCTGCCTCTGGCTCTGGAGTGCTGGTATTAAAGGCATGTGCTACCATGCCAGGCAGTTATTTTTTAAGGCAGAGTCTCATGTAACTCAAGCTGACCTCCAAGCAGAAGCTGGCCTTGAACCCCTGATCCTCCTGCCTCTTCCTCTTAAGTGCTGAGATTACAGGTGTGCACCTAGATGGATGTTTCTGTGTGCTAAAATATCGTCAGAGCAAGAATTAAATGCTCTCATGACATTAAATGGGGTCAGTGAGATTGCTTAATACTAATTGTGCAAATCTGGAGACCTGAGTTCAATTCCCAGAACCCATGTCAGAAGAACAGAAGAGAGTCCTAATTCTGAAAAGTTGCCCTCTGACCGCCACATGTGTACTGTGACGTGAACTTCACACACACACACACACACACACACACACACACACAATGAATAAAGTGTATCCATGACCAAATGACAGCCTTAAAAACTGGGTAGTCTGGGCTGAAATCCCAGGAAAGCTTTGTTCTAAGAAGAACCATAGGCTGGGCAAATAGCCTGATACAAAGACTAAGAGTTATAGGACTTGGAGTGTAGCTCAGTTGGTAGAATGCTTACCTAGCATGCAAGAAACCCTGAAATGGATCCCCAGCATGGCATACCACCAGACATAGTGGTGCATGCCTGTAATCCCAGCATGAGGAGGTAGATGCAGGTGTGCTTTACTACTTACCAGCTGTGCTTTGTTACGTCACTGATTCAACTTCTTGCTGCCTAATCTGCAAAATGGACATACAGATAAACGTAAAAAGTTAAACAAAATGCTATAATTAATGAGCGAATAATCAGTGCTCAACAAATCTGAACTCCTTTCTCTTTTTACTTTTTAAAAAATTACATTTTTCAATTTTATTTTATTGCCAGGCATGGCATCACATGCCTTTAGTCCCAGCACTTGGGAGTAGGCAGAAGCAAGTGGCTCTTTGTGAGTTTGAGGCCAGCGTGGTCTACATAGTGAGTTCCAGGCCAGCTGGGGCTACAGGGAGACTGTTTCAAAAAGACCAAAAAATTTAAAATATTTAAAATAAAAATAAATTTTATTTTGTGGGGAGGAATGCTCACATCACAGACAACAGGTGGAGGTTCCACAGACAACTTACAGGATTTTGTTTTCTCCTTCCACTGAAGGCTTGGTGGCAAGTGCCTTTTCATCTGCTGAGCCATGTCACTGACCCTCTCTCTCTGCTCTTTAGCTGCCATTCATCTCAGCAGTGCCAGTTTTCTAGGAGGCCCTAGTAAAAGTGCCCAGATTGTTCTGTAACAATCCCTACCCCTTCTGAAGCTCAGTGTTAAACTGCAAGGAAAAGAAAGTTCCGCCAGAAATCACCCCCTTCTCCCACCTTTCCCACAATGAGTGCTGTCAGGTGGCTGGATTTTGGTTGTGTCCCTGCAGAATCTGGATGCTCTTGGGCTGAGAGCACCACCCAGGAAGAAGGATGAATGAGAATCACTGTTCACTATACTTGATCTATCAAGTTTCTATCACCTCCGGAGGAATTTATAAAAGAAAATTTATAAAAGAAAAACTTGTTGAATGGCGTTAAGTATGGCAGTCCATACCTGAATTCCAGAATTGGGGAGGTGGAGGCAGGAGAACCAGAAGTTTAAGGTAACTTCGCCTATGTAGTGAGTTTGAGGCAGTTTGGGATACATGAGATCCTGTCTCAAAAACACAACACAGCCCAAATCAAACCGACAAAAGTACTAAAAGAAAAACTTACAAAGAGAGCTTGTTTCTTTATAAGGCTCAGGTTTTTGCTCCCCCTTTGGTTCTGCCACACCCTCGTCCCAAATGAACAGGAAACTGCTTTGCGGGATCAGGATCCAGTAGAAGTTGTGCCCCCAGGAGCCCACGGGGGGAGCAGGGGGAGGAGAGGGAGCCAGGCGCCCTAGGACCCACCTTCACAGGAGGGAGCCCCGGCCAGCTGACTGCAGTGATTCCAGACGCCAGAGCCCTGCTACTTGCCTGCGGGTTTTGTGGCTCTGGGTTGCAGCGCGCCCACCACCAGCATCCCAGGAAGTGAGTCATAGGGGTGGAGTCGGGGGTTGGGAGAGTTGGAGGGAAGGCTGGTGGCCCGACCTGGCTGGGGGCGATGCTGGGCAGAATGCTTCCCTGTGTCCCAAGAGACATAATAACGGGACATAATAACAACCAGGAAGAGTCAGTCATACTACGGGAAAACTGGCAGAGAAGGGCAGCGTTCACTTCCCATTCTTCCCATAGGTCCTTGGCCACCATCATGCTGTTGCCTGGAGTACACACTACTTGGGCTGGAGATGAAGCTCGGTTGGTACTTGCCTAGCATGCAAGAAGCCCTGGGTTTAATTCCCAGCACCACTCAAACTGGGTGTGGTGGTACCTGCTTGTCATCTCAGCACTCAGCAGAAGGATCAGAAATTTGTTCAAGGCCAGCCTGGGCTACCAGAGCCTGCCTTAAAAGAATGAGAGAGAGAGAGAGAGAGAGAGAGAGAGAGAGAGAGAGAGAGAAAGAATGAGAGAGAGAGGAGGGCACCACACCATGAAGATGGCTAAGGCCCTTGGTGCCAAGCTGGACAACATGGACAACATGGCTTCAATCCCTGGGACCCACATGATGGAAGGAGAGAACTGACTCATGAACGTTGTCCTGTGCACACACACAAATAAATGAATAAATAAATGTAACTTTATTATTTTTAAGATTTTATTTTTATTTTATATGTATGAGTGTTTTCCTTGCATGCATGTAAGTGCACCATGTGAGTGCAAATGTCTGTGGAGGCCAGAAGAGGGTGTTGGATCACCTGAAACTGGAGTTACAGACAGTTGTTAGTGCCATGTGGGTGCCGGGAACCAAACCTGGGTCCTCTGCAAGAGCAGCCAGTGCCCTTAATCACTGAGTCATCTCTCAGCCCGTAAGTCCCAAATAGAACTTTTCTTTCTTTTTTTTTTTTTTTTTTTTTTTTTTTTTTTTTAAACAGGGTTTTCCCTGTAGCCCCAGCTGTCCAGGAACTCACTATGTAGACCAGGCTGGCCTTGAACTCACAGAGATCCACCTGCCTCTGCCTCCCGAGTGCTGGGATTAAAGATGTGAGGGAACTTTTTAAGATCAATCTCCTTCAATCTTCACATCTACCATCATTATTCCTACTTAGTAGATGAATAATTCTCAGGGAGGCTCAGAGGGGACAAGTCACTCCTGCAGGGTCACATTCTAATTCAATAGCAGAACCAGGATCCTAACCCAGGCTAGCCTGGCCTGTACCACCTCTCCCTTCCCCTACCCTTCTCCTGATGCTGAAGAAAACAGACCAGCCATTGTCTGCACCAGTGTCTGCCTTGGCTCTTGAAGACAGCACACAAACCCACCCACGATGCCAACTGACATCTGAATCAGGTCAAGGCATGAGAAACAGTGCTGAGCGCCTTGTTTGCTTTTTGAGGAGCAGCTTTTGCAAAGGCAAAGTGGAACTCATTTCTCTGAAGTCCACTGACAAATTTGAAAGACTTTATACCCTAACTCCATTCCTGGCCAACTGAGCAACCCTAGGCAACGGTACTCTACCATGGAAGGTTAGAAACTATCTTCCTGGACTGGAGGGATGGTTCACTGAGTAAGGCACAGGACTCCTGAGTTCAATGCTGGGATCCACGTGGTGGAAGGAGAGAACCAACTCTGGCAAATTACCCTCTGACCATCACATGTGTGCCACAGTGAGTGCACGTGCACACACACACACACACACACACACACACACACACAATAAATGTAATAAAAATTTTTTAAAAAATGTAACCACCTTCCTTTTGTGTGTCTACCCTGCTCTGCCCAACTGACAGACCCAAATTTTCCTCCTCAAACTCCCTCCACAGGGCTCCCCAGGTCCTCTGGGGACCATTCTAAGGAAAGACTCCGAAACCTCACCCAATTAGAAAAGGTGGATTCATATCCAGGAGCAACCTGTGCCCTTGATCTACTTTCAGACTCTGCTGGATGTGGTCCTCCCAGAACATCACACTTTTAAAAAGGCTAACTTTACAATGAAAGGCACAAATCATGTAGATATAGCTTGATTGTTTTTATCATGTTGTTTTAATATTTTATTTATTATTATGTTTTTTAAAAATTATTTTTATTTTATGTGTATGAGTGTATTGCCTGCGTGTGAGTACACCCATGTTGTGCAATGCCGAGGAGGTCAGAAGAGGGCACTGGATTCCCCTGAAACTGGAGTTAGGGATGGTTGTTAGTCACCAAGTGGGTGCTGAGAATCGAACCCCAGTCCTCTGCAAGAGCAGTCAGTGCTCTTAAACTGCTGAGCCATCTCTCCAGCCCCTATTATTATGTTCCAATCTTATGTATATGAGTATATTGCCTGTACGTAAGTGAGGTCAGAAGAGGGCACTGGATCCCCTGAAACTGGAGTTAGGGATGGTTGTTAGTCACCAAGTGGGTGCTGAGAATCGAACCCCAGTCCTCTGCAAGAGCAGTCAGTGCTCTTAGCCACTGAGCCATCTCTCCAGGCTCTGTGTTGTTTTTGAGACAGGATTTCATGTAGCTGGGCTCCAAGTTTACAGAGAGCTGAAGATGACCTTGAACTCTTGATCTTCCTGCCTCTACCTCCCTAGTGCTGGGATTCCAGCTAAGACCACTATAACCAGCTTTAGATTGATAGTTTTGACAGGTATAACACCCATGTAACCCACATCCCTACCAAAATGCTAAATATATACACCACCCCCAAAAAGTTCTATCACCACTGTGATTTTTCATGTGCCACACACATGTGCCTCCCCCACCACACTGTTTGCATGTTAAGCACAGGAACAATGTCAAGTTTTCCTTATAATCGCAGTGCCCTGAATAGCACCCAGCAAATAATAACTTTTTTTTTTTTTTTGAGACAGGGTCTCATATACTCCAGGCTGACCTGAACTCCCTATGTAGCTGAGAATGACCTTGAACTTCTAATCTTCCTGCCTCTATCTCTGGAATGCTGGGATTATAGGCATGCACAATCATGTCTAGTTTATGCATGCTAGGCAAGCCAAACACTCAAAGGTTGCTACTGACCATGTTGACAGACCAAGATCAAAATTCCCACGTTGCAGAACTGCCCCAACCTCTGTCACCTTGCGATAATCACTTAAATCTTAAACTCCTAGTAACACCCTACTCACTTGTGAAGCAGGGACAGAAACCTAGCCCTCTTGCCTTGGGGATGGTGAGGACCCAGTGGGGCTATGGGAGGCTCTTTGTTTTGTAGGGGTTTTTGGTTTTCAGAGACAAGGTATTGATATTTAGCCCAGCCTGGCCACCAACTTGAAATCCTCCTGCCTTAGCCTCCTGAGTGAGAGGATTAGAGTGGTATCCTCACACTTAGTGCTTGTATAGCAAGCACTTTAACTGCTAGGACATCTCCCTAGTCCTTTTTCTTTTTTGACAATGGGATTTTTTTGTTGGTGGTAGTTTCTGGGTTTTTTGCTTGTTTTGTGGGGTTTTTTGTTTTTGTTTTTGTTGTTTGTTGTTTTGTTTTTTTTTTTGCCTTTTTGAGACAGGGTAGCCTCCGGCTGTCCTGGAACTCACTGTGTAGACCAGGCTGGCCTTGAATTCACAGAGATTCGCCTGCTTCTGCCTCTCCAGTGCTGGGACTAAAGGCATGTGCCACCACATGGCTAGGCTAGGCTTCTGGGTTGTTTGTTTTGTGTTTTTGTTTTATTGTATTTTGATACAGGAGCTCACTGTCTTGCCCTTTTACCTAGAACTCCATTTATAGACAGAGCAATCTGCCTGTCTCTGACTCTCTAGTGCTGGGAGCAAAGGTATACACCACCACACCCAGCCTGAGGCGAACTGATTCTCCTGGCTCTGCCTTTGGAGTGTTAGAAGGGGAATGTACTATCATGCTTTTCTCTAGGTATTTTTTGAGGGATGCATTTTGGTTTTGACTTTGTGTATGTGTGTTTGTGTGTGTGGTATGCATGCATGTTCGTGTGTGCACGTGTATGTGTGTGTGTAGAGCAGAGGTCAATGTTGGGTGACTTCTATTACTCTCTGCCTGTTTGTTTGTTAGCTTGAGATGGGGTCTCACTATGTAGCCCTGGCTGGCCTAGAACTCAGTGTATAGACTAGGCTGGCCTCAAATTCACAGAGCTCTCCCTATGCGGGTGATTCACAGAGGCTCCCAAATGCAAGGATTATGAGTATAAACCACTATGCCCAGCCCGACTGATTATCTGCCCTACCATGAAGCCCTCTCTGATCCTTAGTTTCTCTTTAGTAGAATGAAGGCCTAGACTCTCTTCTGGCTCCTCTGACTCTAATCCAGAAGTACAATGCAGACTAACTTGTTATCTTTCCCCACTGAGGGGGCTGATGGGAACTGCTGCAAAATTTAACAACTCTAACCTAAAAATTCCCTAAAATCAGATTGGAGAGATAGTCCAGTTAAATAAAGCGTTTGCTTTGCAAGTATGAGGCCTGACTTCAATCTCCAGAACTCATGTAAAGAAAGTCAGGCATGGTGATATGCACTTGCAATCCCAGGGCTGGGAACAAGGCAGGCAAACACAGGGGATAGCTTAGCAACCTGAGACTCTACTTGGTTTGGACTGTTCACGCCTCTCTTTTCTTGTAATGCAATTTGGCAGTCTCATCTGGACATACCATACTCACACGCCTCTCTGAACAATGCACCCAGCAACTTGGCAACCTAGCACACCCACCTCCATCAAGTTGCATGCACACCACACTCCCAACATTGGAATAAGTTTCTCTCCTTAACGACCATCAAACTTAAGACAGATCCTATTCAACTGTACTCCAGGCATGTACAGGAACTATGGATTGATCCTGCCTGAACTGGTTTTGGGTGAAGCTTA